GGCTGTTGTCACTGTCACCAACACGGCCACAGCAAGTGACACTGGCTGTTGTCACTGTCACCAACACGGCCACAGCGAGTGACAGCGGCTGTTGTCCCCTCTGTCACCAACACGGCCACAGCAAGTGACACTGGCTGTTGTCACTGTCACCAACACGGCCACAGCGAGTGACAGCGGCTGCTGTCCCCTCTGTCACTAACACGGCCACAGTGAGTGACAGCGGCTGTTGTCATTGTCACCAACACGGCCACAGCGAGTGACACTGGCTGTTGTCACTGTCACCAACACGGCCACAGAGATGCCATCAAAGGCTGCCATGTATCCCCTCTGTCACCAACACAGTCACAGCAAGTGACACCAGCTGCTGCCGCTGTCCCCTCTGTCACCAACGCTGTCACAGCGATGCCATCAGCCGTTGTCACTCGTCCCCTCTGTCACCAACACAGCCACGGTGACAGCACCAGGTCGTGCCCACAGTGACACGGCGCTGCCACGTGTCCTTCTGTCACCAATGCCACCACAGTGATGGCACCAGGACGCTGCCAGGTGTCCCTTTTGTCACCAACGCCGCCACAGTGACGCCATCGATGCCATGGGGTGCTGCCACTGTCCCCTTTGCCACCATCACGGTCACATCGATGCCATGGGGTGCTGTCACTGTCCCTTCTGTCACCAGCACGGGTGGCACTGCTGTCACGGTGTGCCCATGGTGACAGGGCAGTGCCAGGCGTGTCCTGTGTCACCGTCAGGGCCACGGTGCTGCTGTCACAGCACGGCCACGTTGAGCCAGCGGAGTGTCCCCTCTGTCACCGTGTCCCCGCAGTCACTGCCACATCCCCTCTGCCAATGCTGTGTCCCTGCTGTCACCCCCATGTCCCCTCTGTCACTGCCGTGTCCCCGCTGTCACCATGTCCCCTCTGTCACCGTGTCCCCTCTGCCAGCACCGTGTCCCCTCTGTCACCACCATATCCCATGGGTGGCCATGTGTCCCCGGTGTCACTGCCACGTCTCCTCTGTCACCGCCATGTCCCACGGGTGGCCGTGTGTCCCTGCTGTCACCGCCATGTCCCACGGTGGCCATGTGTCCCTGCTGTCACCGCCATGTCCCACGGTGGCCATGTGTCCCTGCTGTCACCGCCATGTCCCACGGTGGCCATGTGTCTCTGGTGTCACTGCCATGTCCCTGCTGTCACCGCCGTGTACCCTGGTGGCCGTGTGTCCCACGGTGCCGTGTCCCCGCTGTCCCCTCACGCCTGGGTCCCCCTCCTCTCCCGCAGCCGCTGCTTCAGCTCAGCCATGGCCTGGCGCTGTGGGGACAGGGACAGTGAGGGGACAGGGACAGTGAGGGGACAGGGACAGAGGAACGGGAACAAGGACACTGTGGGGACAGGGACAGTGAGGGGACAGGGACAAGAACAGTGAGGCGACAGGGACAGTGAGGGAACAGGGACAGAGGAATGGGGACAAGGACACTGTGGGGACAGGGAGAGGGAGGGGACAGGGGACAGAGGAGAGGCATGGGGACAGGAATGGGGACAGGGTTAGGGGAGAGGCATGGGTACAGGAATGGGGACAGGGGATATCAGTGGGTCTGAGGACACCAAGAGGGGACAGGGTCAGTGGACACACACCCAGGGTCAGGGGACAGCAGGGACATGAGGGGACATGAGAGAGGCATGGGGACAGGAATAGGGACAGGGGACATCAGTGGGTCAGAGGACACCAAGAGGGGACAGGGTCAGTGGACACACACCCAGGGTCAGGGGACAGCAGGGACATGAGGGGACATGAGGTGACACCAGAAGTGTCCCCTGTGGGTTGTCTCTGTACCCCCCTCACTGCCTGTGCGGCAGGGGACACCAGGGGGACACTGGGGACATTGGGAGGACACAGAGCGAGCCTCGGGGACGTCGCCCTGATTTTTTAAGATTCTCTAAGGCTTCTGATGTTTACATTCTTGTAACGAACTTTCTCACACGCTTTATGTAAATAACTTAAGTCTTGCATTCCTTTATGGAGGAGGAGATATCTGACGGACTGTTGGTTTGCCCAGTGTCACTGCAGAGGTGGCACTGTCACCCTCCGATCCACTGTCACTTTTGGAAGTCTATAAATGTTGAGTCAGAAATTAGAAGTGCTGTTTTTTTACCCCGTTAGAGCTGCGTGTCCGTGGCGCGTTATCTCGTGTCCTGCAGCGATATCTGGCGGCCGCCGCGTGCGGGACAGCCCTGGGTGAGGTCGTGTCGCTTCCCCCCTCCCTGTTTTGGCGTGAGCAGTTCGGCATTTTGCACGCAGCTCTTGTGGTCATGGCAAGCCCTGTGGGTTTCACGGAGGATTCTCTGGTTTCGGACCTCTGGAAGGGTCTCCTGGAGCGGAAACGAGTTTTCCGTTTCCTGGAGCGATTTTGAAAGGTTATTTCTGTGGGCCAGACAGCAAGGGTTTTTTCCAAGCCCTGTGGAGGCGCTCTCCAGGGAGGTGTGGTCTCTCATGGGAGGCCATCTCATGGCAGCGCTTTTTGATGACTGCACCGTAGACACGAGATCACTGCTGGTGCGGTGGAAAAAGTTTGACGCCATTTGGCGGGGGTCTGGATTTTGTAGCTCTGAGTTCCCTGGGGGACCCTTCCGTCTCGGACGTGGACGAGGGGGAATTTGAATTTCTGTGTGAAGCAGAACTCTTCCCTCTCCCCCAGGACGGTGAGCTGGGAGGCAGCTCCGTCTCGGACGGTGACGTTTGTCCCCCGGGGTGGATCGAGCTCCCAGCTGTTGAGAGTTTTTTGCAGGACAATGGACATGTACAGCAGATGCACAATCCAGCCTTCCTAGAAACTGAGTAAGGTCACCATGCCCTTGAAGGACACCAAAGGAGAAGAACACGCTCATTAGCAGACAGTTCAGGATGCAAAGGCAGACAAGAAAACCGCAGCGAGACGCCTGAAGAAGGAAGACTAACTAAAATTAACTGAAATATTAAAATGCATGCGTAAGAAGGATTTAACTAATCATGTATTAGCTTGAGGCGGAAACAACAGAAAACAGTATAAATATAGCTTGCTTTTTGTAATAAATCAGCTTCACTTGATCATATTGATCATGGCATGATGTCCTGTTAATGATCTTCCCAATACCCAGCCAGCAGGTTCCGAGCAGCCAGAGAACGGGCAGAGCCGTGGAGGCAGCAGGGCAGGAGGGAACCGCCTTCTCTTTGTGCCTTCCCGGCGCTCAGGGACGACGGGGATCCTCTGCATCAGCCTCCGCCTCGGTTTGAGTCTGATTCGGCGACAACGCTTTGTCCAAATCGTGGCGTTTCCATTAAATATCTCCTGGGTGCGGCGGGAGCAGGTTCGTCTGCTTCTGAGCTGGTCTTGTCTTCTGGCAGAGCTGCTTCCCCCGTTTCTGAGCCTAAGCAGCCTGCCGGGCACGTGCAGGAGGTGGGAGCCACCGGAGGCAGGGTGCTGGTCGGTGTTCCATCAGGCCCCGCCACGAGGTCGGGCTGTCCGCCCCGCTTGGCTGGTGCCCGCTGTGGGGTCTCGGGCACGAGCAGGATGCTCACAGGGGCTGTCCCGGATGCCCCTGTGCCACCCCGCAGCGATGTGGCTCCGCGAGCCGCGTGTCTCTCTGCACTCCTCCCCGGCATGGGAGGAGGGTGGCCCTCTGCAGGTCTCTCTCCAGTCCGTGCCGGTGCCTGTGTCCACCGCGGCGCCCTCTGCCCGTGCTGCGGCGGGCAGCACTGCCAGGCTGCCGGCTGGTTTGGCCCCGCTGCCTCCCGCGGGTGCCGGGGCTGCGGCGCGGCAGGGTGCCGGGGTGTTCACTTTTAGTGTGAATGCTGGCGCAGCCAGCGGGAGACCGGTGAGTTCCTGGGGCTGCGGACCCTCCTCATCGGCCTTGTGGACACTCCCCCTGTGCCAGGTGACCGTGTGTCCAACGGAACACGGGCGGTTCTGGCGAGAAATCCAAGCTAAGGTCGAGGAGACGGTCGAGTCTGCTGTCTCACAGCTCTGCAGGATTGTGGAGGAGGCTCCTCTGGCTCTGCTGATGCTGCAGGGGGCGCGGGGTCGGGTGGTGTTGAGCTGCCTCCGGTCAGCCATCTGCTGCTGTCCCTGCGGGGCCCACGGGACAGGTCTTGGCAGGCCCAGGGGGTTGCCAGGCTTTCCCTGTGCTCAGGGGTGTTACTCATAACGCCCATCAACCTTTATCGTTTAAAGCTGCGAAGGAACTCCATGATGCGGTTGTGCAACATGGTCTGGGGTCTGCTGAAGGCTGAAGGTCGCTGCTTCGAGCGATTGCTGCTGATGCGCCGACACCTCACAACATCCGTGCTATGGCACACGTTATTTTTCCGCCCGCGGAATTCAACGTTTTTGAGTCTCAATGGGCTCGGTTAGCAGCCAGGGCAGTGGAGCAGAACGCTATGCTGGGTCTGCAGGATCCCAGGCGTGCCATTGGCACTGATGTGCTGCTGGGCACAGACAATTATGCTGATCCTCAGGGGCAAGCTGGCTTCGATCCCCTCGTGCCTGACCAGTGCCAGACAACAGGCATGGCAGCGTTGGTTCAGACCATAGAACTGGCTGCTCTGAGGCAGCCGTTTGCGACTGTTGCTGTCCAGGGGGCTGACGAGCCTTCCACGACATTTGCAGGGAGGCTGACAGCCTCTGTTATGAATCAGGTGGCAGATCCTGAGGCAAGGAGACTTGTGATTACGAACCTTGCGAGGTGTAACTGCAATGATGACTGTAAGAGGATCATAGAGGCTCTTCCTGGTGACCCTACTGTCCCCCAGATGGCAGTGGCCTGTGCAAACTTAGGTCCCTCAGGTTACAAGATGGCTGCCTTGGCTATTGCTGTGCAGCCAGTCTGGGCAGTGCCACGGGGCAGGCAGCAACCGCAGGGGAATGCTCAGGCCAGCAAGGAACAGGGAAAGGAGACACAGAAGGTCAAAGCTCCCTTGTTTTTGTGTGGTCGGTGTGGAAGGCCAAACCATATGGCAAATGTCTTAGACTCTTGCCAAATACACAAGGTTCCCCTGGATGCCTTTGGTCCCTTGGGTGAGGGCATGAGTGCTCTCCTGATGGGGAGATCTAGTGCCACCCTTCAGGGCATCATTGTGCACCGGGGCCTCACTGATGCAGACTTCACAGGGCAGATTTGTGCCGTGGTCTCCATACTCACCACTCCGTCACTATCCCGGAAGGGACACGGATTGCTCAACTTGTGCCCTTTAAGTCTTCTGCTCACAGGACAGCTGACCGGTCATGTGGAGCTGGCAGCTTTGGATCCGCTGGGCCCCCTCAAGTTCACTGGACCGCTGTCCCGACCAAAGAACGTCCTGAGATGCTGTGTACCCTGTCCATCCCTGCTGTGACACTGTTGGAGATCCATCTTCGTGGGCTTCTGGACGGCGGCATGGACCTCACAGTTCTCTCCCTTGCCACCTGGGCCCCGGAATGGCCCCTGAATCCTGGAGATGCCTGTCACGGGACTGGGGGGAACGGCACGGTGTTACGTGAGCCAGCGGCCCGTGCTGGTCACAAACACAGAGGGACAGACGGCCTGGATTTGGCCTCATGTTACTTTTACCCCTGCTAACCTCTGGGGGAGGGATGTTCTGTCAGTGTGGGGGGTGCACATCAGGACGGGTTTTTGATGGGGGCCACTGCGATGAAGGGCGCAGTGTCCCACGCCTCCTATACGGTGGCTGGTGGACAAACCTGTCTGGGAGAACCAGTGGCCCCTCTCTGAAGATAAATTGGTCACCCTTCGAAATCTGGTGCAGATGGATTAGGGTCATCTGGAGCCTTCTACCAGCCCCTGGAACACTCCTGTCTTCTGCATCAAGAAAAAATCTGGGAAATGGACGTTGTTACAAGACCTCCGAAAGGTCAATGCCGTGATGGAAAGCATGGGAACATTGCAGGTGGGCATGCCATTGCCTACCACGCTTCCCACAGACTTGCTGGTCCTCATCATGGATCTCAAGGATTGTTTTTTCACAATTCCTTTGCATCCTGATGACAGACTGACATTTACCTTCTTGGTGCCAGCAATTAACAATGTTGAGCCCATGCAGCTCAATGGTATCAAAGATATCAATGATATCAATGACATCTATGGAAAGTTTTGCCCCAAGGAATGCGAAATTCTCCCGCCAAATGCCAATGGTATGCAGCCCGTGCCTTGTCTGGGGTTTGCAAGCAGTTTCCTGATGCCCGTCCGTATCATTATATGGATGACATTTTGGTGGCTGCGTCCACCCAGGACGAGCTGCTGAGGATCCAGCCTCAGTTGCTCGATGCTTTGCATCCTCATGGGCTGCAGGTGGCTCCAGAAAAGGTTCAACAACAGCCTCCTTGGAAGTATCTGGGGGTCAAAATTCTGGAGCGGACAATCCAACACCAGGAGGTGCAATTTGTGCATTCTGTGAAGACGCTGAATGATGCCCACAAATTGGTAGGTGTCGTCACTCGGTTACATCCGTACTTGGGACTGACCGACGCACAAATGTCTCCTCTGTTTGATTTGTTGAAAGGAGAATCTAAAGTCACCTTGCACACTGAGGCACATCAGGTGCTGGAGGTGGTTCAGAGAGCTGTTTCTGCTTGCCAGGTTTATCGCATTGATCCCTCCGTTGATGTCACCGTGTTCATCGCCGCTCCAGATTCGCATCCCACAGGCATCGTTGGCCAATGGAGTGACAAACGGTCCCATTCCTTGCACATCTTGGAATGGGTTTTCCTGCCCCATCAGCCGCAGAAGACGGCAGTTGTTTGAGCTAATTGCTCGCTTGATAATCAAATGCCGGCAATGGTGTTTGCAATTGATGGGTGCGGATCCCACAAAGATCACACTCCTGGTACAGAGGGAGGATTTTGACTGGAGCTTTGTGAACACTGTGTCCCTGCAGAGTGCTCTGGAAAACTTTTCAGGAAAGATCACTTATCATCTACCCAGCCACATGTACTGCACATGGCAAAATTCACACAAATCTATTTGTGGCCCAAAAATAGTCAGGAACCCGTGCAAGGACCCGCTGCCTTCACTGATGGTTCGGGGAGAACAGGGAAGGCCACTGTTACTTGGAGGGATGGATCTGAGTGGCGCATGGGAACATTGCAGGTGGGCATGCCATTGCCTACCACGCTTCCCACAGACTTGCTGGTCCTCATCATGGATCTCAAGGATTGTTTTTTCACAATTCCTTTGCATCCTGATGACAGACTGACATTTGCCTTCTTGGTGCCAGCAATTAACAATGCTGAGCCCACGCAGCTCAATGGTATCAAAGATATCAATGATATCAACGGGAAGTTTTGCCCCAAGGAATGCAAATTCTCCTGCCAAATGCCTATGGTATGCAGCCCGTGCCTTGTCTGGGGTTTGCAAGCAGTTTCCTGATGCCCATCCGTATCATTATACGGATGACATTTTGGTGGCTGCGTCCACCCAGGACGAGCTGCTGAGGATACAGCCTCAGTTGCTCGATGCTTTGCATCCTCATGGGCTGCAGGTGGCTCCAGAAAAGGTTCAACAACAGCCTCCTTGGAAGTATCTGGGGGTCAAAATTCTGGAGCGGACAATCCAACACCAGGAGGTGCAATTGCATTCTGTGAAGACGCTGAATGATGTCCACAAATTGGTAGGTGTCGTCACTCGGTTACATCCGTACTTGGGACTGACCGACGCACAACTGTCTCCTCTGTTTGATTTGTTGAAAGGAGAATCTAAAGTCACCTTGCACACTGAGGCACGTCAGGTGCTGGAGGTGGTTCAGAGAGCTGTTTCTGCTTGCCAGGTTTATCGCATTGATCCCTCCGTTGATGTCACCGTGTTCATCGCCGCTCCAGATTCGCATCCCACAGGCATCGTTGGCCAATGGAGTGACAAACGGTCCCATTCCTTGCACATCTTGGAATGGGTTTTCCTGCCCCATCAGCCGCAGAAGACGGCAGTTGTTTGAGCTAATTGCTCGCTTGATAATCAAATGCCGGCAATGGTGTTTGCAATTGATGGGTGCGGATCCCACAAAGATCACACTCCTGGTACAGAGGGAGGATTTTGACTGGAGCTTTGTGAACAGTGTGTCCCTGCAGAGTGCTCTGGAAAACTTTTCAGGGCAGATCACTTATCATCTACCCAGCCACATGTACTGCACATGGCAAAATTCACACAAATCTATTTGTGGCCCAAAAATAGTCAGGAACCCGTGCAAGGACCCGCTGCCTTCACTGATGGTTTGGGGAGAACAGGGAAGGCCACTGTTACTTGGAGGGATGGATCTGAGTGGCAGGGCCTGGAAGGTCACGAGGATGGGTCAGCCCAATTTGTTGAAATGAAAGCTTTCATTTCATTTTATAAATTTTCCCAGTAACCTTTCAGTTTGGTCACGGATTCTGCCTATGTGGCTGACATCGCACAGCGGTTGGGTCATTGAAGGAGGTCAGTAACCCTGCCTTGTTTCATTTACTGAAGACCTCGTGGTGTGCCACTCAGGCCCAGGTTCATCCGTTCCACGCTCTGCATGCGAGCAGTCACGCCAATTTGCCAAGATTTGCAGCGGAAGGCAACGTGAGGGCTGACAAGCTGGCCAACCCAGCGTGGGTAGCGCCTCAGCCTGACACACTGGCGCAGGCCGAGACGTCGCGTGGGTTTTTCCACCACAACGCACATACCTTGCAGAAGCAGTTTCAGCTGACGCCAACTGAAGCTTGTGACATTGTCAAGCCGTGTGATGACTGCCTTTGCTGGCAGGGGAAAACTCCAGAGGCCTCAGGGCCTTGGAGCTTTGGCAGACCGATGTCACCCAGACTGCCGAGTCTGGCCGGCTCAAGTATGTGCGTGTCACGGTGGACACGTTCTCCTCTGCAATGTGGGCTTCTGCTCACACTGGAGAAAAGGCCCGTGATGTCCTTGCCCACTGGAGGCAGGCCTTTGCCGTTCTGGACACACCTTCTGCTGTCAAAACCAACAGTGGTCCTGCTTGCACATCGCAGAAGGTGCAGCAGTTCCTGCAGTTGTGGGGTGTGTCACACAAGTTTGGTATCCGTCACTCTCTGACTGCTCGAGCGATTGTAGAACGCGCTCACGGTACTCTGAAGCGGGTTCTTCAAAAACAAAAACGGGGAATGCAGGGTGAAACCCCGCACAGTCGGTCGGCAAAAGCTTTGTACGCCATCAATCATCTTACGGTGACACAGAACTCAAACAACCCTGTCGTTCTGAATCACCGTCCCTCGATGCAGGCTGGGACGAGGCACGTCAGCCTCTGGTCTGGAATTTGGTCACCGAACAGCGAGAAGGTCCCTATGACCTATCAGGTGTGGGCATGCTTGTGTGTCCACAGATTCTGGGGTACGCTGGGTACCCTCGGCGTGTGTTTGTGACCACAGAGACAGAATCTGGCCAACGGGCAAAACGGAAACCACGACCAACCTGAAAGGCATCAGGTGGGTGAATCACTGAGTCGTGACTCGGATCCAGATGATGCGAGTGATCACCCCGACGATTCCTCCATGAATGGACACTGAGCCTTGCTCATTTTTCTTTTTTCACGTCGTTAATTTTTTTCTTTCTTTTTTCTTTTTTTTAAAACAGTAAAGGGTAAGATGCGGCCCTGCTGTTTTAAATTTTCCAGGTTTTCTGAGGTTTACGTTCCTGTAACGAACTTTCTCGCACACTTTATGTAAATAATTTATGGTTTTGCATTGTTTTACGGAGAAAGAGAAATCTGACGGACTGTTGGTTTGTCCGGTGTCATTGGAGAGGTGGCACTGTCACCCTCCGATCCACTGTCACTTTTGGAAGTCTATAAATATTGAGTCAGGAATTAAAAGTGCTGGTTTTTTGCCTCGTTAGAGCTGCGTGTCCGTGGTGTGTTATTTCGTGTCCTACAGCGACACAGGGACATTGTGGGGACACAAGGGGGACACTGAGGACAGCAAGGGGACATTGGGGACACTGCCAGGGCAGGGCTGGACACATTGGGGACACTGCAAAGAGACCTTGGGGACAGTAGGGGGTCCTGGGGACACACTGGGGACATTGAGGGGGGGCTGGGGACACCTTGGGGACACTGTGGGAGAGGGACTTGGGGGGACACTGGGAGGTGCTGGAGCCACATGGGGGACACCTTGGGGACACCGTGGGGGGTGGGGACACCAAGGGGACATTGTAGGGGAGGGTGGGGACACTAGGGGTGGTACTGGAGACATTGGGGGCAGTGAGAGGGACATTGGGGACAGTGGGGGACACTGAGAGGGACACTGGGGACAGTTGGGGGCATTAGGGACAGAGGGGGACACTGAGAGGGACATTGGGGACAGTGGGGGACACTAAGAGGGTCGTTGGGGACAGTGGGGGACACTGAGAGGGACATTAGGGTCAGTTGGGGACATTGGGGACAGTGGGGGACACTGAGAGGGACACTGGGGACAGTTGGGGACAGTGGGGGACACTGAGAGGGTCGTTGGGGACAGTTGGGGACATTGGGGACAGTCGGGGTCTCACCCGTTCCGGGGTGTCCGGCGGGAAAATCTCCCTCTGCAAAGAGAGTGCGTCAGGGGAGGGGACAGCGGGGACATTGAGGTGTCCCCAGGTGTCCCCAGGGGTCCCTGCCCACCTTGCGGTCGATCACGTGACGCTGGAAGAGCTCGGCCTGGTTGGAGACCCAGAACACGGCCACGGGGAAGGACAGGTACAGACACATCTGGGACAATGACACCTGTGTCACCTGTGTCACCCCTAACCCTCACCTGTGTCACCTCCTGTGTCACCCCTACCCCTCCCTGCCGGCGGGGACGGTCACCAACGTCACCGGGACACGGGCAGGTAACACCTGAGTGTCACCTGTGTCACCTGTGTCACCCCTAACCCTCACCTGTGTCACCTCCTGTGTCACCCCTACCCCTCCCTGCCGGCGGGGACGGTCACCAACGTCACCGGGACACGGGCAGGTAACAAATGTCACACCTGAGTGTCACCTGTGTCACCCCTAACCTCACCTGTGTCACCTCCTGTGACACCCCTAACCCTCACCTGTGTCACCTCCTGTGTCACCTGAGTGTCACCTGTACCTGTGTGTCCCCTGTGTCACCTCCCCTGTGTCACCTGTGTGTCACCTGTGTCACACCTGTGTCACCCCTAGAGCCAGAACACGGCCACGGGGAAGGACAGGTACAGGCACACCTGGGGCAGGGACACCTGTGTCACCTCTGTGTCACCTCCCCTGTCACATCTGTGTCCCCCATTCCCATCCCTTGTTCCTGTTCCCGTTCCCGCCCCCCCGCTCCGTTACCGCCCCATTCCCATTATCCCAGTCCCGTTCCCATTCCCGTTATCCCCTCCCCATTCCCATTATCCCATTCCCATTCCCATTCCCGTTATCCCATTCCTGTTCCCATTATCCCAGTCCTGTTCCCATTCCCATTATCCCCTCCCCATTCCCGTTATCCCGGTCCCGTTCCCATTCCCGTTATCCCATTCCTGTTCCTGTTCCCGTTATCCCCTCCCCATTCCCGTTATCCCGGTCCCGTTCCCATTCCCGTTATCCCATTCCACATCTGGGACAGGGACACCTGTGTCACCTCTGTGTCCCCTGTGTCACCTCCCCTGTCACCTCTGTGTCCCCCATTCCCATCCCTTGTTGCTGTTCCCGTTCCCGCCCCCCCCGCTCCGTTACCCCCCCATTCCCATTATCCCAGTCCTGTTCCCATTCCCGTTATCCCCTCCCTATTCCCATTATCCCGTTCCCGTTCCCATTATCCCGTTCCCATTCGCATTATCCCGTTCCCATTCCCATTATCCCATTCCCGTTCCCATTCCCATTATCCCCTCCCCATTCCCATTATCCCATTCCCGTTCCCCCCCGTTCCCATTCCCCCATTCCCATTATCCCCTCGTTCCCGTTCCCATTCCTGTTCCTCCGTTCCCATTCCCATTATCCCCTCCCCATTCCCATTATCCCATTCCCGTTCCCATTCCCGTTATCCCATTCCCGTTCCCATTATCCCCTCCCCATTCCCATTCCCATTATCCCCTCGTTCCCATTCCCATTCCTGTTCCCCCGTTCCTGTTCCTGTTATCCCCTCATTCCCATTCCCATTCCCCCCTTCCTGTTCCCATTCCCGTTATCTCACTATCCTGTTATCCCATTCCCATTTCCCCATTCCCATTATCCCCCATTCCCGTTCCCATTCCTGTTACTTCCCCCCATTCCCATTTCTATTCCCATTCCCATTATCCTGTTCCCATTATCCCATTCCCATTATCCTGTTCCCATTATCCCATTCCCATTCCCGTTCCCATTATCCCATTCCCATTATCCCCCCCATCCCCATTATCCCGTTCCCATTATCCCATCCCCATTATCCCGTTCCCATATTCCCATTATCCTGTTTCCATTCCCATTATCCCATTCCCATCCCCATCCCCATTATCCCGTTCCCATTATCCCATTCCCATCCCCATTCCCATTATCCCATCGCCATTATCCCATCCCCATTATCCCGTTCCCATATTCCCATTATCCTGTTTCCATTCCCATTATCCCATTCCCATCCCCATCCCCATTATCCCGTTCCCATTATCCCATCCCCATTATCCCGTTCCCATATTCCCATTATCCTGTTTCCATTCCCATTATCCCAATCCCATCCCCATTTCCATTATCCCGTTCCCATTCCCATCCCCATTCCCATTATCCCATCCCCATTATCCCGTTCTCCCTCCGTTCCCGTTCCCGCCCCCCTCGCACCCTCAGGATCTCCAGCTTCACCCCCATGGCTCCTCCAGGCCCCCCGCACTTCCGGCTCCGCCAACCCCGCAACACCGCGCCCGCCCATTGGTCGCACCTCCAGCACCGCCGCATTCTATTGGCTGAGATCTGCGCTGAGGGGGCGGAGCGAAAGAGCGAGTTGACCAATGAGCAGGGAGCGCGGGAAGGACGGAAGTGGAGGCGCCGGAAGTACGGGCGGCGCGCCGGAAGTGAGCGAGCGCGCGGAGAAATGGCGGCGGCCGAGGCGGAGATGGCGGCGCGGGAGGAGCCGCCGGGAGCGGCCCCGGGAGCGGAGCCCGGCGCGGAGCAGCAGCCGGGAGCGGTGGCGGAGCCCGGAGCGATGGAGGAACCCGGAGCGATGGCGGAGCCGGCACCGGGACCCGCGGGGGAAGCGGTGGCGGATCCCGGAGCGGGGCCGGGCCCGGAGCGGCCCGAGCTGTGCTTCGTGAGTGCGGGGCTGGCCCCTGCTGTCCCCTCCTGTCCCCTCCTGTCCCCTTCCTGTCCCCTGCTGTCCCCATCCCTGTCCCCTCCTGTCCCCATCCCTGTCCCTTTCTGTCCCTTCCTGTCCCCTGGTGTCGCCTCCTGTCACCCCCTGTCCTCTCTGTCCCCACCCCTGTCCCCTCCAGTGTCCCTGTCCCCATCCCCCTGTCTCTGTCCCTGTCCCCTCTCCTGTCCCCATGTCCCCATCCCTTGTCCCCGTGTCCCTGTCCCATATCCCTGTCCCCTCTCCTGTCCCCGTGTCCCTGTCCCCTGCTGTCCCCATTCCCTCTCCAGGCCATTTGTCCCCAGCATTTCCCCCGTTTGTGTCCCCGCTGTCCCCGTGTCCCTGTGCCACCCTGTCCCTGTCACCCCCAGCTCTGTCACCTCCTGCTGTGCTCTGTGTCCCTGTCCCGTCCCTGTCACCGCTGGGTTCTGTCCTGCCCCCTCCCCCCATCCTGGTCCCTTTGTCCCCCCCTGTGTCCCCTGGCTGTCCCAAATGTCCCCTGCTGTCCCCTGAGCCCAGGAGGAAGTGCCCTGTGCCGTGTGTCCCCTGTCCCCATCCCTGTCCCCATCCCTGTCCCCATCCCTGTCCCTGTGTCCCTCCAGGAGCATGAGGAGGAGCTGTCCCCTGTCCCCACAGGTGTCCCCTGACTGTCCCCAGTGTCCCCAATGTCCCCCAGGAGGAAGAGGAGGTGCAGCACGAGGAGGAGCTGTCCCTGTGTGTGTCCCCAGAGTCCCCAGTGTCCCCAATGTCCCCACTGTCCCCCCCCAGGAGGAAGAGGAGGTGCAGCACGAGGAGGAGCTGTCCCTGTGTGTGTCCCCAGTGTCCCCAATGTCCCCAATGTCCCCCCCCAGGAGGAAGAGGAGGTGCAGCACGAGGAGGAGCTGATCCCATCCCCATTATCCCGTTCCCATATTCCCATTATCCTGTTTCCATTCCCATTATCCCAATCCCATCCCCATTTCCATTATCCCGTTCCCATTCCCATCCCCATTCCCATTATCCCATCCCCATTATCCCATTCCCATTCCCATATTCCCATTCCCATCCCCATTTCCATTATCCCGTTCCCATTCCCATCCCCATTCCCATTATCCCATCCCCATTATCCCATTCCCATTCCCATATTCCCATTCCCATCCCCATTTCCATTATCCCGTTCCCATTCCCATCCCCATTCCCATTATCCCATCCCCATTATCCCGTTCTCCCTCCGTTCCCGTTCCCGCCCCCCTCGCACCCTCAGGATCTCCAGCTTCACCCCCATGGCTCCTCCAGGCCCCCCGCACTTCCGGCTCCGCCAACCCCGCAACACCGCGCCCGCCCATTGGTCGCACCTCCAGCACCGCCGCATTCTATTGGCTGAGATCTGCGCTGAGGGGGCGGAGCGAAAGAGCGAGTTGACCAATGAGCAGGGAGCGCGGGAAGGACGGAAGTGGAGGCGCCGGAAGTACGGGCGGCGCGCCGGAAGTGAGCGAGCGCGCGGAGAAATGGCGGCGGCCGAGGCGGAGATGGCGGCGCGGGAGGAGCCGCCGGGAGCGGCCCCGGGAGCGGAGCCCGGCGCGGAGCAGCAGCCGGGAGCGGTGGCGGAGCCCGGAGCGATGGAGGAACCCGGAGCGATGGCGGAGCCGGCACCGGGACCCGCGGGGGAAGCGGTGGCGGATCCCGGAGCGGGGCCGGGCCCGGAGCGGCCCGAGCTGTGCTTCGTGAGTGCGGGGCTGGCCCCTGCTGTCCCCTCCTGTCCCCTCTTGTCCCCATGTCCCCATCCTGTCCCCTCCTGTCCCCTCCTGTCCCCATCCTGTCCCCTGCTGTCCCCATCCCTGTCCCCTCCTGTCCCCATCCCTGTCCCTTTCTGTCCCTTCCTGTCCCCTGGTGTCGCCTCCTGTCCCCCCCTGTCCTCTCTGTCCCCACCCCTGTCCCCTCCAGTGTCCCTGTCCCCATCCCCCTGTCTCTGTCCCTGTCCCCTCTCCTGTCCCCATGTCCCCATCCCTTGTCCCCGTGTCCCTGTCCCATATCCCTGTCCCCTCTCCTGTCCCCGTGTCCCTGTCCCCTGCTGTCCCCATTCCCTCTCCAGGCCATTTGTCCCCAGCATTTCCCCCGTTTGTGTCCCCGCTGTCCCCGTGTCCCTGTGCCACCCTGTCCCTGTCACCCCCAGCTCTGTCACCTCCTGCTGTGCTCTGTGTCCCTGTCCCGTCCCTGTCACCGCTGGGTTCTGTCCTGCCCCCTCCCCCCATCCTGGTCCCTTTGTCCCCCCCTGTGTCCCCTGGCTGTCCCCAATGTCCCCTGCTGTCCCCTGAGCCCAGGAGGAAGTGCCCTGTGCCTTGTCTCCCCTGTCCCCATCCCTGTCCCTGTGTCCCTCCAGGAGCATGAGGAGGGGCTGTCCCCTGTCCCCAGAGGTGTCCCCTGACTGTCCCCAGTGTCCCCAGTGTCCCCAATGTCCCCTCACTGTCCCCCCCCAGGAGGAAGAGGAGGTGCAGCACGAGGAGGAGCTGTCCCTGTGTGTGTCCCCAATGTCCCCACTGTCCCCCCCCAGGAGGAAGAGGAGGTGCAGCACGAGGAGGAGCTGTCCCTGTGTGTGTCCCCAGTGTCCCCAATGTCCCCAATGTCCCCCCCCAGGAGGAAGAGGAGGTGCAGCACGAGGAGGAGCTGTCCCTGTGTGTGTCCCCAGTGTCCCCAATGTCCCCAATGTCCCCCCCCAGGAGGAAGAGGAGGTGCAGCACGAGGAGGAGCTGTCCCTGTGTGTGTCCCCAGTGTCCCCAATGTCCCTGTGTGTGTCCCCAGTGTCCCCAATGTCCCCACTGTCCCCCCCCAGGAGGAAGAGGAGGTGCAGCACGAGGAGGAGCTGTCCCTGTGTGTGTCCCCAGTGTCCCCAGTGTCCCCACTGTCCCCCCCCAGGAGGAAGAGGAGGTGCAGCACGAGGAGGAGCTGCTCCGGAACCCGTTCTCGGTGCGCGGCTGGCTGCGCTACGCCCAGGCCCGGCAGCGCGGGCCCCGCCCCCGCCTCAACCAGATCTACGAGAGAGCCCTGAGGGAGCTGCCCGGCAGGTACGGGCACCGGGGGGGCTGGGGGGGCTGGGGAGGGGGCAGCTGGAACACACCTGGGATACACCTGGGCACTGCTGGGATACACCTGGGCACTGCTGGGGGCAGCTGGAACGCACCTGGGATACACCTGGGCACTGCTGGGGGCAGCTGGAACACACCTGGGATACACCTGGGCACTGCTGGGGGCAGCTGGAACACACCTGGGATACACCTGGGCTCACCTGGGATACACCTGGGCACTGCTGGGGGCAGCTGGAACACACCTGGGATACACCTGGGCTCACCTGGGATACACCTAGGGGGAGCTGGGTACACCTAGGGGCAGCTGGGGGTACCTGGGATACACCTGAGGGTACTGGGAATGCACCTGGGGGCACCTGGGCACACCTAGGGGCACCTGGGGCACACCTGGGCAGCAGAGGTGCCCCTGGAAGGCACAGGGACCTTTGGGGGCACACCTGGGGGGCACAGGGAGCACCTGATTGCCCTGGTGGGGGCAGGTGGGGACAGGGACAGCCGGGGTCCTCTCAGGTGGCAGCAGGTGACAGGGGCTGGCCCGGGTGAGGGGTGGCACCTGTGACTGGGCGTGGCTCACGTGATCGGGGTGGCACAGGTGACGCAGGTGACAGGAGTAACACAGGTGACAGGGTAGCCAGGTGACACAGGTGACAGTCCTGGGTGGCCTAGGTGACAGGAGTGACACAGGTGACAGGGGTGCCAGGTAACCCAGGTGACACGTCTGTCCCCTCAGCAGTTACAAGCTGTGGTGCCAGTACCTGTGTCAGGGGTGTTGGATGACCCTGGTGACGGGTGACAGGTGGCCCAGGTGACACCTGTGAGCCCTCCCCAGTTACAAGCTGTGGTACCAGTACCTGTGACAGGGGTGTCAGGTGACCTTGGTGACACCTGTGTCCCCTGTCCCCAGTTACAAGGTGTGGTACCAGTACCTGTGACAGGGGTGTCAGGGGTGTTGGGTGACCCAGGTGACAGGTGTGTCCCCTCCCCAGTTACAAGCTGTGGTACCAGTATCTGCAGCAGGGCTGTCAGGTGTGTCAGGGCTGTCAGGTGCCCCAGGTGACAGGTGTGTCCCCTTTAGTTACAAGCTGTGGTACCAGTACCTGCGCAGGGGTGTTGGGTGCCCCAGGTGACAGGTGCCAGGTGCCCCAGGTGACAGGTGTGACAGGTGACAGGTGTGTCCCCCCCAGTTACAAGCTGTGGTACCAGTATCTGCAGCAGGGCTGTCAGGGGTGTCAGGGCTGTCAGGTGCCCCAGGGGACAGGTGTGTCCCCTCCCCAGTTACAAGCTGTGGTACCAGTATCTGCAGCAGGGCTGTCAGGGGTGTCAGGGCTGTCAGGTGCCCCAGGTGACAGGTGTGTCCCCTTTAGTTACAAGCTGTGGTACCAGTACCTGTGACAGGTGTGTCAGGTGACAGGTGTGTCCCCCCCAGTTACAAGCTGTGGTACCAGTACCTGTGACAGGTGTGACAGGTGACAGGTGTGTCCCCCCCAGTTACAAGCT